ATGATTTTTTGGGAATCTAAGATAAGAGTAGTGCTGTTATTCATTGGAAGATGTGAAGTATTGTGTTTTGTTGGAGAAATTAACTTTTGGTTATTGTTGAAGAAGTCAATTCATTCCTTGATAGAATTCGTGTAAGTTCTTTAAATATTTCTTTATTTAAACAAATATTTAAATTTGTAGTAGTATTATATATATTTTTTTCATATGTTATATACATGTCACATTTTTAATTGTTAGTTTTCCACATGCCACAAAAAGGAAATTTAGCGATCTATATGAAATTTGTCTAAAATTTCACCCACGGTCAGTAGTTTAAAACTATTTGGCAACTTCTAGATGCAGATGACAAACCTCATAATATTCACGTTTATATATTTTTTCCCTTGTTCACACATTGACAACAACAATTTTGCATATTAATTGTTCTGACTGAAAACATAATTTTTATTATTTATCAATAAGAAATAGTGTGTAGAATTTGTTATACAAATATACAATAATAGACTTTCTTTCCAATAAATTTGGAGTCAATAGGAATGTACTAGAATTTGATGAAGGCGATGGCATCTATTATTTTTAGCTCCTTCCGCCCTTATTATTTCATATTTGTGTCTATTATTTTTCATGAGTTTAGGACATTTGATCGATGTAATTTAAAATAAGTTGTCAAATAGGTTTGGTTTCTTTGAAACTGAGATGCATGATATTGATGTTGGATTTTGTTTTGAAAGAAAAAGGTCCATTAAGAGAGAGATTTTTTTTTTTTCCAGTTTTACTCTTTAATCTGTATCTCAGAAATTAATGATTTTTAAATCTCATGCTCTTCTTCAAGCCTTAAGCTTTCGCTACATTAGTATTTCAAACAACTAGATCCAATTCCATCACACATGTTGCTAATTATAAACCAAAGCACGTAAGTAATTTTTCTGATTTTATTTTTATGTTATGTTGCAATTGAAAGATTAGATAGTACTTGATATCGTAAAGAAGAAAAAGTAAATTTAAATTATATTTACTATAATTTTAGTATCATT